GCTTAATTTCCTCAATGATGGCATTTAGTCTGTAATTTAGCATGTACAATATCATATTGTTTCCCCATGGTTTTAGACTTTAAAGTATTTATCTCTATATTCTGAGTTGCCTGAGTTGCAGGTGAGCTGGTTTGATCCCCTCTGTTGCTGGAGGGGTCTGTGGGTGGGTAGTGGCAGCTGCAGGGGGGCTGCTCACAGTCCAGGCAAGGCTTGGGGCCTGAGTGCATGAATTCAGAGGGAGTTCACTCAGTCTGGGAGGTGAGGAAGCTGATAAAACTTCACCTTCCACCTCTCCCTTGTGGCAGTGTTTGGGCAGTGAAAGTGGCTCTGGCTCTCCACAGTCACACGAGCAGCACGATGCAGCCTTAGCTTTCTCTGCATGCTTTCTTACTGTCAGTAGTATTTGCTGATTTTTGTTCCCTCCCCCATGGTTAAATACCTCTTTCTGTATTGCTGGCAGGAGTGTTTTCCACGTTGTGTGCTGTCCCCAAAAAGGAAGGTTACCTTGGGCTGTACAAAGGCAACGGGGCAATGATGATTAGAATCTTTCCGTATGGCGCTATTCAGTTTATGGCCTTTGACCAATATAAAAAGGTAGTTGAATTTGGTTTGTTTTGCTTTTCTTTTTTTTTTTCTGCCCACAGTGAATACAAACTCATTGAGTGACTGATAGTAACACTGAAACTTTTGTGTGTTATTAATTAGCTGCATGTCTCTTCTGAGGTTGCTTAATTTTATCTGAATCTAACGCTTGAAAGTGTCAGGGCAACACTGAAACTTTTAAAAGATTCCCACTAATTTTTGTACCTTTTATACATTTGTATTATTGAGAATAATGCTTTTTTTTTTCTTAAAGCAAAAGGTAATCTAAAGCCTGCTGCTATTTATTGCTATAAGGTATCCCTTGGTGAATAAAGTAGGAGCAAAATGTAAAATGAAACCTCTTTATTTATATTTATATGTGAGATTGAAGCTGTGATTCCCTTCCCTAAAGAGCAAATTTCAGAAGACTGAGACAAAGAAGTAACTGTAATGGGTTTTGTAGGTTCTTTTTTTTGTGTTGTCACCATAAATGCTGTTGATCTGTGCATGTTTTATGTCGTGTGGAATAAAAGACTGCATGCTGTGCTCTAAAATGAGATGATTTATGAATCTGCAAATTTCAAGAAACCAGTTGGCATCATAGCAGTTCCCTTTACCTGTTAATTGACAGGAAATGTTCATGATGTTTTGCATGGATGTGTAAAAGAAAAAAAAATTCTTAAAGGAGGAAGATATGAAATGATCTTTGTAGCTGAAAGTGCTTCTGAAGTAGTCTCAGTTATTTGGTAAAAGGCTGGAAACTAATTTCTAATTTCCTTCTGGGCTGTAATGTAACTTAGGAAGTTCTTGCTCTGAGTTGTTTGTCCTATTTTTCTTTTCTCCTTCTTTTCTTTTGTTTTGATCCAGCTAAAAAATCTTTATAGGAGTGTTTCACATGGTGTGCATGGAAGAAAAATTGACTCTTCTCACTGTTCAACTTTGCTCAGTGTCCTTTGGTCTCTACAAGGATAGTTTTCAGTTTGCCTTGTTTGACACACATTAATGATAACTAAATAAACAATTAATTGAGTTCCTGAAGTGAACAGTACAAATACTTTCAACTCATTGTTTTGTTTTGCCTTGTTAGTAGAATTTTAGCATGTTCATGTTTCTAATAAGAAATTGGAAACAGCAGCAGTGTTCAAAAGATTCTTTTAGCAGTAATTAAGTGCTCTGGATTGAATTTGTAGTATTGTAAACTTCTTGGAAGCCTCCTACAGAGTTTGCATTAATGTGCTGATAAAGCTTGTGCTGTGTTTCCCTGCGTTTTCTCATATGAGACTATTGTAAATGTTCCATATTTTGTAGGTAATAAAGAAACAACTTGGGATTTCGGGGCATGTGCATCGGTTAATGGCTGGATCCATGGCAGGTATAGTTTTGTAGTTGGATTTCAGACATGCCTTTTGCTGAAAAGTTAATATTTATTTAGAGGCTGGTTCCATGTGTAGTCAGGTCAAACTGTTGGAAATTTGTATTAAGCAAAAATACTAGTAAATGGTTAATGGAACATGGTTGCCTAATTGCCACACATTTGTTGAAGAGTATTCTTTAAAATATATTTGTGCAAGCAGGTTTTTATAGTGTTTATTATGGCTTTTAAAAAGTGAAAACCTCAGTGTCACCAAGATGAAGTATAAAGCTGCAGGTTTTGGTGGAATTGGCTCATCACCCCTCTGCCATTTCTTGGAGGTTGAATATAAGCCCATAGAGACAGAGGGAACTGCAGTTCCTTTCGTGGGTGTGTTCTTTGGATTTGCCAGACATGTCTGTGCTTTTCCATGTCCAACACAGGATTGTCATGATGCTCTTTAGATCATGTGTGTGAACTTCAAAAACCCTGATTTATCAATTAGTGCAATAGCAGCAGAAAACCCCATGTGTGAGCTGCCAGTGTAGAGTATGATTATATATTTGTTTTCCTCTTACTAGTCTTTCAGCCAAAAGTAGCTAAGAAAAAACAGGGGAAGGTAAGTGATAGTGGAACTGATTTTTAATTGAAGTGATTCTTCATGTGCTTCTACTTTGTTAAATGGGCTTAATACTGCCTAGTGACAGTCTTTAAGTAGTTATGGGTATTCATCTTTAACTTCTTTTGTAATAAAAATACTGGGGTTTGTTAATACTACCTTTAGTTAAACTAGGAAGACCTCATGAAAGTATTCTGGTATTTGTAGTGTCAGAAGAAAAGGAAAGAGAATGAAATGGAATAATGAAAAGAGTCCTAAAAGCTAGCAAAACCCATTTGGCAAGATATGTATGTCCTAGAACTTTCCTGGCTTTCTGTCTGAAAGAAGTGGGGAAAAAAAACCCCATAGATTTTTTTTCCCTTTTTTCTCCCCCTGCCTTTAACTATGTTAGAGAACACTTTGCAATTTACTTTCCCCCCCCAAAAAAGCTTATTATTAGCTTTGTCAGAGACTAGGAACCTGATTTGTAAGGCATTATGCACACACTGAATAATCAGCTTAACTCTGTCACTGTTGGCCATGGTGGAATTCTTTGTGCAGATCAGTTAATAGCATCTGGCATTGTTTTAAGCACCTTACTGGTGCTTTGTGTGGTTAGAGTAACAGAAATAAATTAGCACACAGCACTATCTGGCAGCCATGATCAAATGAAGTGCTTTGTGTGGTGTGTTTAAGTACAGGATACTCAGTAGTCTGGGTTTGAGAACGCCAGAACTGAGTAGGTGAGCTGGACTTTGGGAGGCAGTGAAAGGAACACAGCAGTCAAGTGTAGATATAGTGTCACATGGGAGTGTCTTACTATTTGTTTACTAGGTGGCATTAACTGCTGCTTGGGATATTCTTTAGTTAATAAGAGGGATGATTTCTTGATTATGCCAAGGAGCTATAGAGGAGGAAGGAGGCACTGAGAAGAGCAGAGAGCTTGAAATCTGGAACACAAGTTTTCTAGGTTTGCAAGCAAAAAAGTGAGTTAGAAGCAAGTGATAGCATTTCTTGCTTTAACTCCTGTGGCCTAGTTTCTTGCTGGCTCCAATAAAGGATATTTTTCTGTTTCCTGCAAGTTTAAATGACTAAAGGAGATGATGCACCCCAGTGTTGGTGCAGAGGGGCCTTCCCAGTTTCATGGAACACAGTATTAAGCAGTTGGGAACAGATAACCAGCGTTTCCCTCTCCTTTTTGTCCCCTCTCCACCCTCTAGCCAGACAGCTGTCTGCTTTCACTTCTCTGTGCCACTGCTGCTGAAATATTGCTTATGTCAGTGTTTCCAACGGGACTAGTGGTCAACAGACCTGAATGGGCTTCAAAGTGGTGGGAAACATCTGAGTATCTTCTGTAACTGATAAACAGGATCAAAAGCTTGTCCACAGGGAAAAACAAGGCAGTGAGGATGGGAGTAGTGGAGAGAGGAAAAAAGCAAAACCTATTGTAATGCATATATTCCAGGAGGCCAAGTTAAAGTTACTGTGGAGACTTTAACTCTGAATTTCCTGAGTCTTGTGTGATTCAAATTTCAGCTGTAACACCTCATTAACGGATAAATGGTATATAACTTCTTCTGAGAAAAGACAAAACTGGGCAAGAAGATAGAGAAATCCTCAAGGTTAGTGGGGTTTAGGAAACAAAATTATCAACTAACAACAAAGATGAACAAGGATAATCAAATGAAAAGTCACAGGATGACTTTACAAATCTAAGTATTCACAGGATGATTTTAAAATCTAAACATTCTTTTTTAGTTTTTTATTAGAAAAATCTGAATTTAACCACAGAAATGTGTATTTCCACCCCTGCACTTGATTAACTTCAAAATAACTAAGTCAAAAAAGACTAGATGTTATCTAGAATAAACTTCCATTAAGCTAATACAGAAAGTATGTTTTTGTTTTTAGCTTTTTACTTTCAGTAAAAGTGATTGGAAAATAGTACTGATCTAGTAGGATAATGGGTGTCTCCATTTTAAATAGTGTGTAATTAACAGTTCCCTCTTTGAGTCAACATTTTAAAAGAATCTGTGTGGTCTGTTTCTTCAGGTGCAGTTGGTAGAGAAGCAGAATTATATATTGGAGATATAGAAATATTGGGATGTGTAAATTAGGCATTCTTAAATCTGTCTGATAAATATTCTTTGTCATCAGCTGTTTCTCTGTATGTGTAGTTCCTGAAGCCTTGTTTTGTTCAGAAGATGCTTCCTGGATAAATAAATTAATCTTTATAGCAGCTAAGGAGCATATCTTCTGCAGCTCAAGGCTGACTTGTGCTTACAGCTCACTTTTTGAGCTGTAAACCTCTGGCAGTGCTTAATTTGATCTGCAGAGCTGCTGATAAAGTACAAAGAGCGTGGTACAGAGATCATAAAAACTTGTGTGCTGAAGACATGTGCAGTGCCTACTCTTTGTAAATGTATTTCACTTGTGTTTTTTCTTGCTTCAGATAGTTTTTTATTTTTATTTTTCAAAGAAAGAAAATGACTGAGAATGGAGGAATAGCAAGCAAATTAGGAGACAGAGCTAATCTCATTGTTAACTCCCAGAGTCTGGGAAGCAAATCAAGGCCAGTCTAATTCCTGTTGTGCTTCACTGTCACTGTCTTTAGTCTGTGTAACCCAGTGTCTTGTCCCCAAGAGCGGTCAAAGGGGCTTGAGGGCAACATGGAAAGAGAAGAACAGTCTTTCCCTGGCTACCTGGGCTTCTGAGTCAGCAGCTGCAGTGGAAAAGTCTACTCTTTGGAGGAAGTGGTTCACTGAGGGAGGGAGAGCTACGTTACCCTGTTATGGTTATTTCGGATCAGACACTGGGAATTTCAGGATCCACCTCTTAATTGTTGAGATACTTCCAATTCTGTTGTGTTTAACCAACTGTGGGAGAGATTTTTGGCTCAACTATCATTAATTGGAGTAGACTTTGCTTTTGGGCAGGGAATCAGCCTGAAGATGCTGTGGTCTGACTTCTTGTAACTCCTACACTATAGGAAGCAGAGATGAGATCAGTAATTCTGTAGACTGACCACAATGACTTTGTGTCCCAAAGCTGGCTGCCATTCCTTCTGGAAAGGACAGTGACTCTCCTAAGCCCCAAAGGAAATCTTGATCCCTTGTATGTACAGTGCCTCTCCCAGTTGCTTCAAGAAAGCATACTTTTTGGCTGATGTTAGAAATCCCTTTTTTCAGATTCTATGGCTAGAGGATTTTAAAAAAAACCCTAAAAATAAAAAGTTTCTATTTAAATCCCTACATGTGGTTTCTTTCAGTTGCATCTGATTTCTTTAAAATTGTACTATTTTTGGACTGTATTCATGAAGTAGTGCGTTCACCAAGCTCCTGGTTGGTCTGTTTGCTAGTCTTTGTTCAGACAAATTCCTGGAGAGATTGGAAAGAGAAGGGGGGGAAAGTTATCTGTTCTCTAAAGTAGGATGATTTTCCTGGAAACTCTTAAACTCTGTGAAAGGGCTTCCCCCCCTCCCATTTTTACTTCTATTTAAAATGCTTGAATTCATCTGTTTTATGATATTTCTGGACATCTCAGGCAATCCATTAGGAAAAGGCTGTAGACTGAGGGATGGATTTAATATAGGTCAGTGGAAACAGTCCTAAAGTTTCTTTAGTGTTTTGCAGCTTCCAACTTTTGAACCCTATGGGTGAGATAACATCAGAAATCAACTGCAGATGTCTGCTCTTTGTTCAGAGGAATTGTCCATAATGTCCAAAAGCGATGTTTTTGTCTTCTAAAATAAATTGTGGGATACTCCAGAAAGCCACAAACTTTGCCCTCAGTTGACAGTTGACCAGTGTGAGATTTTTGGATAGCTCACTTAGGGTGGTTGTGTTTTTTTTTTCTCCCCATCTCATCCTGATACTTTCTGTCAGATCATTCAATGTACTAGAGTTGTGCTTTGTTGTGGTTTTTGTTTGATTGGGTTTTTTTTATTTTGTTTGTTTTGTTTTGGGGTTTGGTGTTATTTTTGTGTGGAGGGGTTTTTTTCCTCCAAGCATAAAAATTAAGAAGAGCTTGTTTGCAAGAGTTTTGTTGTGTTTGGGTTTTGTTGTCGGTTTGTTTGTTTTTAATTCCTCCTGTTATGGTTTTCTCTTGACCTTTTGGAAAGTAGGGGAAGTGATACACCTACAGAAGAGATATTAGTGAGAGACTATTACAACTTAAGAGGAAGTGACAATTTCCTGCCTGCATAAAAAGTGTGCTTCTGTAGGACCAATTTTTAAAAGTTATGTTTAGCTAGATCAGAGCAGTTGCTGGAAAACAGTATCAATTACAAAGGTTTTTGCTTTCTTTTTCTCCTTTTCCCAGTTTTGGGGTTTTTGTTTGGGTGGTTTTTGTTTTTTTTTTTTGGTGACTGTGGTGTACCAACAGAAAACGGCCTCTGTTTTCAGTTGACAGTTTTAACTATTCCCTCCAAAGAATTTGTCAGCCAGTGAGCGTTTGACCTCAAAAAGCAGCAGTTGGAAAGAATTCGTTATTCACGTAACTGTTAGAACTGATGTTTTCTGTACTGGAGTTGTGTTTCCAAAATTACTAGTTGGTCAGCATCTAAGCAGTTTTGAAACGGTCCCAAACTGGATGAATCCTAAGATTTGATTTTTTTTTTTGGCATCTCAAGTCCAGAAATAGCTTTTCTGGTCAGTTTTAAACCAGAAGTGCTGGTGTAACATGAACTATTACAATGCAGTAGTGCAGCACAGTTAAGTACTCCTCATCAGTATGATCCTGGCTCTATTTTAAATGTCACTAGAATAGATGCAGTAAGTAGATACATGTATCTATATCCAGTAGTCACACCAAATTCCGACACAACCTTTTTGAAATAAAACATTTAAATTCGGTGGTTTGATTTTTTAAATTTATTTTTTTTTATTATTTAGGATTAGGTTTCATGGTTGCAATCCAGTAAAGCTGATGCATTTGATTAGCCTGATTCTTAGGAGCTATGGACATCAATAAGATTGCTCAGGAATACAATCAGGCCCATAAATCTTGGGAAAATCCAGGCCTAGGTGTGCTGCTTCAGTGAACACCAAACATAAATCCTTTGTGTGTTACTGAAGTTAGTGTTCCTGTTTGCTGATTATAAGTTACTTTAAGTGTTTCTTTAACAAAATATTTTGTATATGCTATTATATTCACTGCCACAAAAGGAAATTCTAATTTTCAAAATAATCCTAGAATCAGATAAGGTGTAGGTGAGTTTTGTTTGCTTGTTTTGTTTTTGTTTTTAATAAAGGTATTACAGCAGTGATTTGTACTTACCCTCTTGATATGGTTAGAGTTCGTCTGGCGTTCCAAGTCAAAGGGGAACACAGGTACATGGGAATTATCCATGCATTCAAGATGATTTACACAAAGGTATTTTTTCTTTTAATCTTCAGTCCTGTCAAAGCAAAATATGCTCTTTAAAGAATGTTGCATTGCATTGAAAATAGTGGCTTGGTGGCAAATTACATGACTTCATCGTGTGCAATTTGACTTTTTTAATGTAAAACGTTATCTGGATGCTTCCCACTACCTAGGCTGCTAAGCTGGAGCTAAGGCTCATGGAAGTGGGAGGCCAAAAACAGCAGGGAAATTGCTTTTCAAGAACAAGTAGTAATGATCCCAAAAGATCTGGGGAGGAGGGCTGAGTATAATGCATAACTGTCTCCAGTTATGATGTTGGATGTAGATTCTCCTCCCTGGTTTTCACTTGTGCCTCTCCTGTAGAGCCAGGTCCCCTCGGTTTCTCAGGCACAAGGAGCAGACCCTGCCTTTAGCTCCCTGGTGGTGCCAGTCAGGTTCCTGCCACGGGAATCTGTATCAAGTTATGTAACTTGTTCAGATGTTTGCTGTATTTCTTGCCACCAATGTTCTTGTATTTTTCTTTCAAAGGAAGGTGGTTTTAGAGGGTTCTACAGAGGGCTGATGCCAACTGTTGTAGGAATGGCACCGTATGCGGGTAAGTTAAAACCAGGCCGTGGCCGTCCTCCAGCAGTTGTGTGCACTACTGAATTTACATGGTATATTTGCACACCTGGTTAATTAGCTGCTGCCCAAATCACCTTCAGCGATGCTCCTTAAAGAGCATCTTCGATAGTAAAAGCCTTGCTTTTCTGAAATGTGGGTTCTCTTGTGCTTCCCCGTTTTCCCACAAGAAGGCGTGGAGCTGTTTCTCCCAGGCGGGTAGATGGGAGCGGAGCGCTCTGGAAGTGGAGCCTCAGAGCCTCAGTGTTGGCTCCATCTCCTGGCGGCTTCCCTGTAAATACTCACACGAGCTAAAGCAGCGGGGTGACGTGGAACAGAGGACCAGAACAGCCCAGCTAAACCAGATTTAAAAGATGTGACATGTTCTTCAGTTAAAAAGGTTTTAGGATTATTCTTGACAGCAATGCAGTAATTTAAAGCTCGCAGTCTAGCTTACTTGAAGCGTTCTTTTAGCATTATGTACAAACACAAATTCCTTTGAACAGGAATTACTGTAGAAGTTCAAAATATCGTTTATCTATTTCCTTCTGCTTAAGAAAAAACTTCTAAAAGAACTGGAAAGTAGTTTCATTTTGTAAGAGCAGCTTTTTTGTTTATGATGATGATGCATCGACGAATAGTTTGCTTTTTTATGAAAGTACATAAAATTAAATTTCCTTTTAGGTTTTTCATTTTTTACCTTTGGTACCTTAAAGAGCATTGGACTTGCTCAAGCACCTAACTTGCTTGGACGGCCTTCATTAGATAACCCCGATGTCTTAGTTTTGAAAACACATGTAAATCTGCTGTGTGGTGGCATAGCTGGAGCAATAGCTCAGACGATATCGTAAGTTTGGGTACTGGGTTGGTTTTCCTCTGTTCATTCTAAAGAGACTTTTATCTGAGAATACAATTTGATCTAAGTCTAGTAAGGTTTTGAAATCAGCTTAATCAGACCCTGAAAGTCAATTATTTCCTATTGTTTCATTTACTAAATATCTGTTTAATCTTCAGGGTCTTTATGGATATATGCGATGAGTCAATTAAACAAATTCAGGCAAATCTCCTAAAATCCATTGGAATCTGGTTTGGTAACAATCTTGTTTCTTAGCTTGTTTGGTAAGCTAAGACATTTTGACCCTGAACATAATTTGCAGAATTTTATTATTCCAATTTACTTTCAAATCTATGTAACCTTTGAAGCCATAGGATTAAAAAAAAAAAGAAAGAAAAAACAAGTCTTAGATATTGTATTTGGCTTTTTTTTTTTACTTTTCTTGCTTTCTCCTTTCTCATGCTGTCCTTGTTGTATTTTAATTTTTCCATAAAATAAATTAATTTAATGGACTTATATGGCATCAATTTTTCACTAAGTCACTGCATTGCAAATATAATTTTTTATTAATCTTTAAACTTTTAATTTCATGTTCAATGCAGGTGTCTTCTCCCTCCAGCATTTTAAAGACTATTTTGTACTGTCATCTGATTTTCATGCATCTTCCTTACTAGTGCCAAATGGAATGTATTAAGAGCTCTGGTTTGCTGGTTTTGACTGTGTAGGGGAAGTCTCCCTTTCTGGAGAACTTTCAGCTGTGCTGAGAATGTGAGCTGGATTCCTGACTCACTGAAAAGGGAACTTGGAGGTTGCACGTGGACTTCTTTGTGTTTTTGTCTAAATATTCCAAGAGCCATCACCCATGTGTTTGAACTGCTGTTTAAATATCTTCCCTGCAGATATCCCCTGGATGTAACTCGGAGGAGAATGCAGTTGGGAGCGGTTCTCCCAGACTCTGAGAAGTGCCTGTGAGTATTTTCTTTTCATCCTCAGTAACTGAATTCTTGGATGTCTGAGCAAAGTTCAATTCCTAATTTTAAAGTTTAAAAATAAGAAAACAGGATAAAAAACCCCCACCCCCGGACTACTGAGTTGTTTTCTTCATTCTTTTAATGAGGAAGTTTCCACACAGACAAAAGCTGCCATTGTCAATGTGTGGTTAAAAAATACATGAAATCACAATGGCACCTTTGTTAGTAATACTGTGTTTGTATTAAACATGTTTTCTTTTTATTTTAATGAAACTTGTGAAATCTTTAATATCAGCAAGATCCCTAAAAGAGAGACCACATGCTTCTACTGAAATGAAATTGTTTCGAAGTGTAGAATCTGTTCCATGAGATAATCTTGCATGATACAGTTTTCTTTGACCTTTCTTGCACTTATGGTAGTGTCCCATGCCCCACGTGAAGTTGAGGTTCCTCCAGTAGAAGCGGAAGTACCATAGTAACCTTATCATTATAATAGTATTAAATCAGCTCTCATCTTGGAAAAACTTTCTGAAGTTCAAATTGCCTTAACCAAATTCAATTCTGGGACAGTTTTCTCTTGCTTAGTTTTCAATCTTGTGGAATTGTGTATGTCTGAATCCAGTGTGATGCAGTGTGAACCTCCTATGTGGAGAGTTGGACCTTACAAACAGCAGCCTGAGTGACCTTTCACAGACAAGCACCACGTTGCTTAACTGTGAACGTTGCTGTTCTGTTTTCCTTAGCAGCCTTTACTTTTTTTTTTCTTGGCTATTTTCCACTCCTGACACTTTAAAAATAAAAATGTTTTCATTGTTCTTGGGGGTTTACTTTCTGCATTTGTGGTTACCAGTTTTACAGACGTGAGGTTTCCCAGTTTAACAATATTATTGTGACTGTGGAGAGAGCTGTGCCTTGAAGAAGAGACACGTGTATATCTTTAGAGGATGAGAGGATAAAGCAAGTAGGAAGTCTCAAAGCTTTGGGGATATATGGAAGATGATTTCCAAGAGCACTGTCTTCAGTAGCTTGCAAATATCGAGCACCTTGGACATTTTTACTGTGCTTTGCATTTAATGTCTATTTGCTCGGTTTCAATACAAGTATGTGAGGAAAATTTCTCTTTGCATATACACTGCAATTTCTGCTTTTAACAAGGTCAAATATATACTTAAATTCTAGCTTTTTCTTTTTGAGAGGAAATACTAGGTCTTCATTGCAGCAGAAGCTACACAGATGCAGGATGTAGAGTACAGAGCTGAACGTGAATTTTACACGCAGAGCTTTGGAAGGATGGACAGTATGAGTGAGTGCTCTGAGAGGATGGAATACAAAGTTTGATGCAAGAAGAGGGTGCTTCATGGAACACATGATGTTTCTGTTGCTCTGTATTACATTTGTAGAAGGAACTGATGCTTCTCAGCTCCTCCCTGCCAGTTAGGCAACAGGACACATGTAGCCATTCTGTTGTAAAATGTCTTAATATGTCCTTTAGGGTAGGTCTTTTCAGCCTGACACTTGTTTAGCTGGGACTGCTCTGTTCTTTCTAATTCCCAGCCCTGGTGCCCAGATTTACTGCTGAAGCTCAGGCTGTCTTCTGAGTCCTGTGATGACTGTAATGCTTTGCTATATGGAGTCCCATGGGTTTTTCTCCGTAGGTCTCGTAAGAACCAAGTAAAAATAGTGTCTTGTATTTAAAGAAAGTGATTTTGACTATGGAATATGTGTATCCAATAATGATTTGAGTTCTTTTTCCAGTACAATGGTGCAGACACTGAAGTATGTGTATCAACAACACGGAATACGAAGAGGACTGTACCGTGGCTTATCTCTAAACTACATTCGTTGTATTCCTTCCCAGGCCGTGGCTTTTACCACATATGAACTTATGAAACAATTCTTGCACCTCAACTGATTCTTTTCTTTAGAAGACTTTTCTGTAAAACTACACTACCAATCCTCAAATTATGTTGATGGGTAAATTACTTGAAGTTTAAAAAAAGCTCTCTCTTACTGTGGACCTGCTGTTGTCTGATATCTTTATTTGCCAAAATGTGGTTGATTTCCTGGAGTCAAACCAGGTGACAGATCAAAATAAACATTAGGTAGCTCTAAACACTTTTTTTGCACTTGATCTTCTAGGCTTCATTAGATTAATGTTAAGAGTGACAGTTTGAAAATTACACCCACATTTTATCCAGGTCCCAAGCAGTTAGTTATTGAGCTTTATCACCATTCCAGGACTTATGTGCTGCTGGTTATGCTGCTTTTTAAGCTGGTAATTAGGCATCTGTTGTTCTTTAAAAATTAAATGGAATAAACTGATTTGAGCGTAATGCAACCATTTTGGTATTCAGATACTTGCCAGGTGTGTAGAAGCTGAACTCAGCAGACCACAATTTCAGCCTCTTTTCCTTCTTTTCCTGAACAAATTTTCTGTATGCAAGAACAATGCATATGTCTTGAGACTGGTACATAGGAAAGTCTCTGCAACCATTTCAGTAAAAAACTACAAGATGTATTTAGCAGTGTTAGAAAATCTTGCAGTTTGGAAACCAGTTTCCTGGCATACGTTCTGTTCTAAAAAATGCTGTGCCTACGCAAGTAAAGGCAGGGGGGACTTTCAGAGTGATGAGTGCTAGAAGGGATCTCTGTAAGGCAGGTGGGAGGGGCCTGATCCTACAAGGCTTTTCTGTGTCTTTCCTGTGGAGCTGAATGTTCTTGGTTTGAAGGCCGAGCATGTCATGTACTTTGCAGGACTAGCTGGTGTAAACAGGTTTTTCCCTCCCTGGAGCCAGGGTGACAAACAGGGCTTGCTGCATTGGCTTGTTTAGGCATATGGACCATATCCAACAGAAAGGACAATTAAGATTGTACTGGGGTCTGTAGGGGGGGTGTACTGTTTCTGAAGTATGGTATGCAATAGGCTATGACATCTTTTCCTTCTCCTGCAATTCCTTTTGCAGAAGGAATTATTTTATACATGATCTGCATTGGTACTCTTGATTCAGGAAACTGTAAAGCATTTACTTTATGTAAGTTATTTATTTATTGTAAATATTTTAGCAGTGTCTTTTAAGGATTGGCAATGGCTACATTAAGTGGTGGATGGTAAGATTGTTAAATTTATCAAAATTAAGCAAATCAAAACTGGAATTTGAGTTACATGTTCAATACCAACTTTTGTTGCTCAGTTTTTTCCCTTCAGTTTCTTAAAAGTATGTATTTCTTTGATATTTACAATGTAGCTATGGACAGAGAATGAGATGTATCTGAATTTATTTTATTAAAATTTTTGAATGAATGTCTTTGTGTGATTTGTATGTGTTGCAGCCAGAAGGAATGCATGCTTCTGGAATTATCTGTATGTTTGCCTTTGTAGGTAAATATGCATAACATTGTCATTCTTTATTAAGAGACAACAAATAAAATTTTTCATCTGGTCTTTAGTTTTACCTAAAGGAAAACTAACTAATATCACAGTAAGTTTTTACCTTTTAAAGTTCTGGCAGTAAGGATAAATGCATTGCACTGGGAAAAAAGTGCCTTTTTTCTCTCTATATTGTTTTACTGTGTGAGCAAATAAGCAACTTCTCAGATGCCTGTTATTTGTCATGTTAATACTGTTAAGGGTGATCAGACTTTTACATCTTAATTTCACTAAAAGGGATATATTTAAGGAATGTGTGGTAAGTTAAGCAGTTCTTAGGCAGAATAAAGCAGAATCCAAAATATTCACACTTAAGAGGAAAAGGAACAAAAAAAGTGTCCCCTAATTGAGTTGGGTATTGAATGTTAAAATAGTGGATGGAACTGTCCTGCATTTTCTGGATTAGTTTTTCAAAATAAAATTTAAAAGTGTATGAATAACTTCAAATTTGAAAGTTTTAATATGAATTCCTGAATTTACGCAGTTAAACTTGGAGAACGCTGATGTATCTTAAAGCTGTAAGCATTTTTCTCAACCACTGATGTCAGAAGGAATTAAAAGAGCCATAGTCTGAACAATTCTGTGCAACTTTTGGTGCTAAAGCAACATTTGGTATTTTTTCTGGATTTTGCAGACTCTCCATAGAGATTCACCAGACTGCTTGAATTTTAGATAACTTCAAAAAGATATTTAAAGCGTGTTTTGTGCTTTACAAACATACACTAGAAAAGAAATATCTTAGAATATGAGAGATGTATAGGCAACATGAGAGACTACAGAACACAGGATTAGCAACTGTACACAGCATTTATGTAATCTCTCAATAGCACACCAAATTATGTGAATAGTATTGACACATAACTATTAAATTACAAGTATGCTTTTATCTTAGAGGTCCTGCAGTGGAAGGAAATATTAATATAGCTTACTACATATATTTCAGGACTATCCTAAATAAAACTAAGGAGAGTTAAATTAAGAATGTTCTCACCTTTTAAAATTCATGTATTTGAATTTGATCCTTCTGTTGGGGTGTCCAACCATGGGCCAAAACTATCGTCTTTACAGCAGAGGCTCATGCTGTTTCCCAGTGTTTGTCTACATTAGAGATAAAATAACAAACTCTTAATACCTCATTTCCCGATATTGGGCTGGTAATCTTGATATTTACCAGTGATACTGATGTACTAAGAATAGATTTAATACCTGCGCCCTTCAATCTTTGCTAGAGTGCTTTGCTGAAGTAGTGGTTTTATGGCCAAAAAAAAATGCAAAGAAAGGAAACCTACATATCTGAAACTTCAGTACCATTTTAGAAAGCCTCTGCTGAGTAGCGCCAAATGTAACAACACGTCTTTATGAGGGAAAAAGTTTGACTTTCGGGCTGAGATTGGCCCGTAAGTGAGTTGGGAGCAGAAGGTATGTCGAATATTACCTCATACCACCGGACCGTAACAGAAGCAGGGGCGGGGATGGGACAGCCCTTGACGAAGTTGAAATAAACGCCGGGCACGGCCGAAAACGATGCGGTTGTCCCTCACAGCCCCCCATAGTTCTCACAGCCTCCCACAGCCCCTCAAAGCCCTCATAAACACTCACAGCCTCCTCCCCGAGCCCTCAAACGCTCACAGCCCTCCATAGCTCTCACACTCTCCCACAGCCCCTCACAGACGTTCACAGACCCCATTGCTCTCATAGCCTCTCAGTCTCCCATAGCCCCTCATAAATGCTCACAGCCCCCGTAGCTCTCACACTCTCCCACAGCCCCTCATAGACGCTCACAGTCCCCCACAGCCCCTCATTAACGTTCACAGTCCCCCATAGCTCTCCTAGCCTCTCACAGTCTCCCACAGCCCCTCATAAACGCTCACA